AAACTATCGAGTGGCTTCGTTTTACGATTTACTCTACATATGAATCATCAGCGCGGTACCGGCCGTAACGATCTTTGCATACACAGCACCGGCCGGCCATATTGTCGATTGGATGGCGGAAACTCGTCACTCGAACGAGCAGAAAGAGGCCTCGATCGATCGATACGTGTGGGAGAACGGAAGAAATAGAAATTCACGGCCTCGCGGTTATAATACGTGAACGACAGAGATGGCAGTTGACACGTATTTCAGATATAGATACGTCCGACGCGGAGTAATCGATCCTCCCAAATCCAAACTGCCATTCAGCGAATGATAAACAAAAGGGCGATCAAAGACTGGAAATCCGGTAAAAGAATTTCATTTAACGGCTTAACGGGTTCCGGCCGTCGTTCGGGCCGATAGGTTTACTCGTTCTTTCCTTCTCATGTTCTCTCTAATCCTCTCTCTCTCTTTTTTTTTCTCTCTTCTTTTATGTCGAAAAATACTGTATGAATATAATGCGTTAGTACGCGCGCTGGAGTTTCATTGTTGGGCAAAAAGTGAAAAAGGGGTGAGTTTAATCGTTTTCTTTGTGCTCCGATTGATTGTTTACGTGATGCCGAAAATAAAATCTCGAAAGCGTTTAATTGCTGCGTTATCAGTGCCTTAACAGGCACAGTTCATACCATGGACATATTTTTATTTGACGAAGAAAAGTCATCCCTGCCTCTTTTACGCTGATAATTTTGTTTAGTCGCACAAATGAAAGTTATATTACTTTGTCAACAATGTCGTAATTTATATGTGATATTATAAAACTTTCGCGGAACCTGCATTTAGAAAGCGGAAGTTGTTTTTAGCTTTTCGTCAGCAGACATCAAGGATCGCAGATTTATTATGCGATTTGCTTCCCGTTTCTTTCTCCCCCTACTCCTCATCCACTCTTCTAATTCCAGCCGCGATGAATTCTTTTCCGGGAACTTATTAAAGTAACGTGGACAAAAGTGCGTTCATTAGTCTTTAATAAAAACGTAATCCACGTCGGTGGAACGTCATATGGAGGATTAAAACATTGCCGAGAAGCTTGACGGCAAGTGTTTGCGAATCGTCCGGCAGTTAATATCATAATCTCACTGTCTGCAGCATGAGAGTTCATAAAGCAGTACGAAATAAATACTTGGGCGCAGAATCGTACATCGTACAATCAGAAGATTGAAATAAACAGCAGATTCAGCTGATTATCATTTCCGTGAATATATACCGTCGACAATCGCTGGAACGTGATAACATGGAAGAATTATTAAAACGAACTCTGCAAAGAGAGAAAGAAAGAGCAGGCGAGCGGAAGGATGGGGTGCGAGAGGGGGAGGGAGATGAGAGGGGGTGAGAGAGTACGTGAAAATGAAGTAACTCGAATAGAAGTTCCCCGAGTGCATTAGGAAGCATAAGCTTCCCGATTTAAGGCCGGACGGATGTATTTTTAGTCGCGCGTCGAAGCTCGTTCGAGTTGATAACGGATCGTTATCAGCGAGTTAACGGGATTTCGCGCCGTGAATTCCGCGTTTCTCCGGTGCGCGCTCCGCCCGGTGGAATATAACCGGCAAAACTGGGCACGTCATAATAGGAATTCAGGAAATTGGGTTGTAATATCGGTGGATACGGCGCGGCGCGGTGGATACGCGAACATATTCCAACGATTGTGGGAGAGATCGGTGCGTTAGTTTAGTTCGTACAACGCGGGGCGCTCATTTATTCCATGAGAAACCGAGTCACGTACACCCTCGCGTTCGCTTTACTATCCGTCATTCAATCCGCACTGTCCGTTGCAGTTTGCACATTATGGACGATATTAGATATTCTCGTCGACTGATAATTAATATCCACTCGAAATCAGGTGTGTGTATGCGTGTGTGCGTGACTTACTTTTGTTCAATTAATACGTTTGTTCAATTGATACATTCGTTAAATTCATCGCGAGAGCGGTAATATGTGCGCGGTATATTATATATTTTTTCAAAGTTAAATTAAATTACGAACCTTGAAAGTGCATTTTCTACTTTACGTGAATACGGGGTGGAAAAGTAATGCGAAATTATGATATGCGTTCGCATTGGCTTTCTCGAAAATCATTATCCGCGGCGCGCGGTGCGTGCTTGAAACGATTCCACGATCGCGGAAACGAAAAACGAATTTAATTATGAGACTTACGCGATTACGTTTCATAGAGAAAACTTTTACGTTGAATAATAGGCAATTTTTTTTTGTCAAGTTAATATTTCATTCTGGGCAACACTTTCGCTCGCAGCGTTTTACTGAGCTTCATTTATAAAAAAGAAAAAACTGGATGAAATCAGGCATTTCGTATTTTTCCAGCCATGAATGATTACCCCGGATGGATATTTTTTTACGATATTTCGCTGAAATTCATTTTTCATTTATTTTTAGTGAGTTTTATTCTCGTCTTCGTCGAATATTTTTGCGTTGTATAAGCTCGATTGTTCTTCGAACAATTCCATTTAATTCTGCCGTCGTATTCATTAGCGGACGCTATTACGGCGGCCGATGCCGAAGCTTATGTCCGCGAATGAGGAATCTGTATCGAAAGAAAAAAAAATCGATGTGTCGCACCGTTAGTCGCAAATAAGCTATATAGGCGAAATCGATACGCATGACGGATCGCGGTATTAATGCGCTGAACTATATATGATAACCGTCAGAAAGCAGAAGAATTTACTCCGAAACTGCCGCACGTACAAGTAGGCCGGCATGAATAATGCAAAGCGATACGGGAGGAGGCGAGTTCTCTGTGTAGAAAATTGGAAAAACACAGTGCAACGATGGGAGAAAGTCAAGCCCACCTCTCTCTTACGTTACCCTTCTTGAGCGAGACCTCTAATTGCATCTCGTGGATTCAAGGGAGCAAAAACAGCATAACGATACTCGAGGATGCTCCTCATTTCGAGTACACCGGACTAGGCGCCGCCCTCTCTCTTGGCATGCAACCCTTAGTGACTAGCGATACCCGGGAGTTTCGCGGAGATTTTATTTCTCCACGTATACCTAGGCATTAGCAACCGATAGATTTCTAATTTATTCTAAAATACAAAACAAAATAACTGATATTCGTTCTATCTCTTTTTGAGTAAACCGCCTATGCAACGCAGGGTGATTTTAACTTTGTATAAGAGGATACAGAAAAGGCTTTCTCGCAGTTTGTGAAGTTCGGGCTCAAGAGAGCGAAATGGTATAATATAACGACAGTCGACTTATCATTGCTCGCCCAAGAGCATCTCGACGCCAACATCCGGAAAATCATGTCGAAATTCAAAGTATTTCGCTAATTGCCCCACTTAGCCTTACTCCCACTTGAAGCATCCTAATTACTCTCTCAGAATATTTCGAGTCATCGCAAATCAAACTTGGATACATCGGAGAGCGAAGATTGCGTTTAAAAATTTTGCAAACTTTACAAAGCTGATAATATAATATAATATAATATAATATAATAATTTTTTCAATTATATAAAAAGATTTCTGAATTGCTTCCGCGTATTTTTTATTTAACTCAAGTATTATTTATGCAGTTCCATCACTCCTGCTTTAATATTTTTTTCGTTTATATGTTAAATTTCCTTTTTTTAGAAGACAATTAAATAGAAAATCTCAAATTAGAGAGATTGTTATTACTGGATGTCCAAATGAATTGTCATTACTGGATAAAAAAGCGAAAAAAGTAGAATGTAAATAATAAGAATTTTAAATTGATTTTCTGAATTGATTTCATTCGTTACTGTTAACCGCATCTTGGGCTTTTATTAGCTCGTTATCATCATTGCAAATTATCGAAACATCTCAGAGTCTTTACCATTTTCGTTAAATATTATTTGTTAAACAGATGCACACACGATATCTATTCAGCTTGTCTGTTTTATTACACGAATATAAATTATTATTCTAATGCTCGTCCCATTAGTACTTGGTGCGTTCAGCAAGGCAGATAACGAATGCTCGGATCAAAATGGTTACGGAATAAAGCTGACTGGTGCGCCGCGATTGTTCCGCTTTAAGTATCGCTTCGCATTAGCTACGACGAAGAAGCGAGCAATTTAAGTTATGGCCTGGCTCGACTGAGACTGCTCTCTTATCGCATTAACGTAGGAACTCCGTAAAATGCAGAAGAGCGGAGGGAGAGAGAGAGAGAGAGAGAGAGAGAGAGAGAGAGAGAGAGAGAGAGAGAGAGAGAGAGAGAGAGAGAGAGAGAGAGAGAGAGAGAGAGAGAGAGAGAGAGAGAGAGAGAGAGAAAGAGAGTACTCTATACAACCGCGTCTAACGTCACTGTGTTCATTACAAGGAAGGATCTTACCAAACTCACCATTTACATTATGCTGTCGCATGCAACACTTGCCACAGATGGCTGGATACTTCGGGATTGCTCTCCCTTGGATTGGACCAGCTTCGTTTGTTTTATAATTAAATAACTGTTGTAAACTTGAACTGAGACACGCAAGTGCGGGATACTGAAATAAAGTTTAATTGTTTAAATAAAAAAATTAATAAAAAATATAGAAGTAAATAATCAAATTGCGCGCATTACGTTATTAATTCGCGGAATAAAATGTCTATTTAAAATATCGTGGCAAGCACGTATATCGATCTCGCCGCTATACTCGCAAACCCCTACCGGATTGGAGCTTAGAAGCAATATTTCTTTTGCGGCACTCTATGCCAGTGCAAATAACTTGCTAATAAGAAAAGTCATTTTCCATTAACACGATTTATGAACCCAAGATGCAGACTGCCACGTTACCATTTGATTAGAGATTTAATTGAAATATCGCTTTTCACGGCAGAAAATGTTTTCCAGATTGAGTTTGCTCCAGGGGGTGTTTTTGCCTCTGATTGTTTTACGTGATCGCTTACGCGGGGGAATCCCAACAGTATTATAAGAATTAAAAAACAGATTGCAGGTATATCGTGCATTTGAAGAGAAAAAATGGTAAATTGAATAAGTAGAAATATACAATAATAAATACATTTTATTTATATAATGTACAGATATAAATGTATATGAAAAAGTTTTACAACACATATTAGTTTCCAATTTTTACTGGGAATGAATAAAATATCTGAAATAGCGGGACAAAGTCTGTTTTTAGAATCATAATCTTTAGTAGTTAAAACTTCGATACCATCCAGGTTATTAACGGCCAAACTGAAAAATGATAAAAATATTTTAACGATCTATCTTTAACGATAAATTTAATAATTACGTAATATATACATAAATTTGTTTATAATAAGTAAATTTATCTCTGATTGGATGAAAATAATAAAAGTCAGTTGTGTCCTTTATTATCGTAAACAGAAATACCTAAATATAAAACTTGCGATTTTTATTATACGTACGAAAAATCAAATATTCCGCGTATCCGCAAATGACGTAGATATTGATTAGTATACTTACATTTGGCAACGGTACTGGCACTGGCCAAGATTGTCGAGGATTAAATGGGCCATAGCCAGGGCCGCTTGGTAAGCGAGGTCTGTGTTTCGGGAGTGCATGGGTATCGGCAAACAGCGCGCAGATTGCAACTAACAGCATTACGATGTATATTGCGAACCTCATGTTGAATATATTTTTCTGATGAAGAAACAAAACATCGTTACAGGAAGGGAAAAATATAATTCGATATTATGAATTTTTCGATAACTTTTGCATACTTGTGAAATAAAAATATCTTGTTTTTTTTCTATGTAATTATTTAGGATGCCGCAGCATTGGAGATTAAAACAAATTAAATATTAAATATTAAATTAATATAATAAAAGCGTTTCAGAATGTAAAAATTGTTCCACGATATTATCAAGCCAATATGTAATTTATTACGTAATTATTATTATATATACGAGCACAATTATAGAATTAATGCCATCAAATATTATAATTAACAACACGGAATTACAAAAGTTGAATATTAAATCGCGAGTATAAAGATTATTTTACTGCACCTCAGTCTGACTGCAACGGAACTCGAATTGTGCTGTCTACGTCTTACGCATCGTTTATATATCGTTATCGTTTGATGTGTAAGCCGCGAAAAACAGTGCAAGATCCAAGTTGCGGAGAAACCCCCTCGGGCTTCGCATTATCACGACCGTCATCACAGCAGTGACACGCGGTGACGTCGCACTCTCTGTTGATGATATGACACGGTTTTACCCGTGTCACGTACCAGCCCAGACGTATGCGCTTCTTGTAGGATATATTTAGGGACTTCCCGAAAAGAAATCTGTGAATCCCACTTCTTTTTTTTACTACGTCTTGCACATAGTCTATAGACTATAGTATACGTAATTACAATATTTTCATAAAAGCGCTTTTACATACAAACATTAATACTGTACAGTATCACGAAACCACATTGTAAATCCAAGTGTGTTATTTCATACACGCATAAACGTCAAAAAATGACACATTTGACTGAAGTTAAAATCGTATGGATGATAAACGGAATAAATTTTTTTTAGTAAACTGTTAATAATTAAAATGCCGAGCGTTTTTTTGAAGGAAAACATATATTCCTATTTATATGTCAAAAGTGGCATAATCTCTGTTTCACAACAGGCTGCAGTAGAAAGAGAATGAAATTACAAAGAGAATTATAATTGAGCCAGCAGGGCAAAAATAAAAATTATTATGCCATTGAAGCAAAGAACAGTTTATGCGACGGTACAAATAATTAAGGGGAGAAAATAAAGTTATTTTACGAGATTTACACGAAGGAAGCTGTAAAAAAACCCGCAACAAAAGAAGTGTATTCATGTGTGTATGTGATAACAAAATTTTAAAATAAATATTTCTACAATATCTGAAATATGCAAATCTAGGGGCAGATATATATCAGCTAATATTAAACATCGTATTTTCATACGCTATCATATTACTTATCAGTAAAATTGATACACTTTACATGAACTCGCATCCACCAGGCTGGAAATTAAGCATACGGCTCTCGTTCATGAGCCATAGATAAATTCTTATCGCCAGACGCGCGGCGTGATATGAAAATAACTTGGAACTGCGGGAAGATTACCTGTTTTCAGAAGCACGTACAACTCGCGTAAAATTATGGGAATATCTATCTTGTAAGAATACATTTTTCAGTTGCGAAGGGGGGAGCTCCGCGCCGCGACCGGAGGATATCGACGCGGCTGGGTATACAGAACAGGAACTTTTACTCGGGCATGAAATATAAGGGCGGCTGGAGTTTGAGGTCGTTTACTCGTTGATACGAGAAAACTGGATAGTATCTCGCGAGGAAACCGAGAGATATCTCCTAAACCTTAGTCCCCGGTCTAAAATCCGACACGTTTCTACTGTATCTCGCTCCCCTAAGCACAACGCTGAGAAGAAGCGAATAAATATATTAGGATTGAACGAACTATAAACGAGAGCAACTTTATTGAGCGATATATATGTGTATAACTACCGAGACACTGATAGCTACACGTGTTACGGTTATGACTAAGGGAGTATGACGCAATGAAAAACAGGAAATTGAAAATTATTTCAATGCGTATATAGAATTATTCTATCTTCGTCAACTGGAATATATTTGATCATGTTACTAATTATATGCAAAATAATTTATTATTTGTTGAATAAGTGTGGCGTAACGAACCAATATTTACAAAATATATAAAATAATTTATCTTTCCATTTTACCGATTCGATAATATTCCCTCTATACCTCTGCGATCATAAATTTGCAAACAGATTTATGATACGTTACAAACTCGATTATTGCAAAATGGGAGTTACGTTGCAAACATTCGCGTTTCGTTTGTTACAAAAATACTCTTACAACGGCTCATTGGATAAATGATAAGAGCATATTACGTCAAGTCGCTATTATGCGTAAAGATCGCATTTGGTGTTTTCGCCGTGATCGTATTATGACATCATAACGATAACGTAAATCAGCTAGTCGGGCATAACGATCGATAATTATCTTTCACTAAGTTGGCGGCCATAAGGAGCGACGTTTTATAGAGTTCCGTTGGACTGTGGGGTTATTACCTATACCGAACAACTATCCTGGGGAAATATTTTATGGAGCAGTTCAGTGGTAATGAAGGTGTTTACATGCGGGCAAGAAGGCGTCTTGCCGGGCGGTAGGTAATTAGGACACCCTCGTCTACCTACGCGATAGGCATTGCCAGAGGTAAATGCAACCGGGTGCACATGGAGCCGGGCGGTCGCGGCGGCGCACTCGTTATTTCGAGGCTTCCGCTCGTATAATGTATTAGCGTAATTATAGCGTTATCAGATCCACGGACAACGAGGAGTCACTCGTTTATAGGATTGCTTGCAAAAACCGATGCACGACCGATTCGAATCCCGCGCGGAAAAGTCGAACGTAACGAAATTACATTCGGGAAATTCATCGTGATAGCGGTAAAGAGAACGCTTTAAAGTATCTCGCGCAGTTGTATTTCTCATTTGGAGGAAGAAAAATTAAAGTAACAAACGCATTTACGTTCATATTTACAATGCGCATTAAAGCATTGTAATAATAATTAAATATACAATAATATAAGCTCATTAAATTTCAATAAATTTCTTTGCTTTTGATCGCTACATAGTTTATATAATAGAAAACAGGGTACAAAATGACAATGTTTAAATAATACTTAAATTTTTATTTGTCTTTTTATTACAAAATATTTATACATCGCTTTATATCAGATACTGGCTAGTTAGTTGCATGGCCAGTAATCATCTTACAAAAACAAACGAACGGTTGGTATCAGTAGGCATCATTTTCTAGTAGGTACACGTCAATGCAAATAGATTTCAATAAAAGTTATTTAGTTACATTATCTGTGAGGATTTCCTAATAAGGAAATCTAATCTTCGGGTTATAAGGTCCCTGACCAGGGAAAGTCGGGAAAGGTTTCCAGCCACCTGGAGGCTGTCTCCTGACCGGAGGTACATACCCAAGGATCGCCATCACTGCCAAGAGCAGGGCGAAAATAAACAAGTAAAATTTCATATTGCACTCTATATATTTCTGAAAGCAAAACATATACATATACATATACATATACATATACATATATACATAAATTTAAATATTGAGTAGGTAGCACATTAGCACGGCAGCATTGACGGCGTAATATATTTGAAACTGCTTTCAAGACATTCTAGTAAAACATATTAAAAGCACAAAAATATTTTACGTTGACTCAAAATTAATTTATAATGAACAAAAAAATTATAACAAGAAATTATATTATTGAAAAAAGAGAAAATTATAACATATATTCTCTTACATATTTTACTTATAAAATAAGTAAAAACATGTAAATAATATACCTTTTTTTTAACTTCGGTTTTCTCGTGAATGTATTCACGGATGTGATCAACTGATGTCTTCTCACGCTTGCAAATTAGAGAAGTATGACAGTATCATTTCCAAATGTCATTATATACACTTACCAGCATATACATATATACGCTTTCTCATTATGCACACGCTTTATTTCGTTGACGGGAAGTACCGAATCTTATCTCACTCGTAACTGCAGTCAGCGATGTTCTTTTCATACTTATCAAGCGAGAGTGTGTGTGTACACGAGAGAAAAACACATTTCTCTCTCCGTATTTCACGACGCTTTCCCGAGTGTATGAGAGAATGTCTCGCGCGCGGAGGTAGAAATTCAAAGAAACTGGAATTACCGAAACGTGCGCGTGTGGGATGCGGGAACCCCTCGTTTAAACTTCTAATTTTTGTCCTGGTTCTCTCTATCATTGTATATGTTTTCGTGGAAAGCAAATAACGTCAGGCGAACAGCAATAAGCAGATTTACGATGCGTTTGCCTCTCATAAATTTCCGCACCCATTACCATTTATTATCAATTTCGTATTACCTTATATTTTATTTATCGCGTAATTCAGATTTATTCTCGAATTTTTACTATATAAATATACAGAAATTTCTAAAAAAAAATCCCGGTGAAATGAGAGATCAAGGATTAAATTTTGAGTGCGCAAAATTTATTTATACGCTGCGTTCGTGTACACACGGTATCAGCGCGTAATTTCGCAAGGGAACCTCGCCCTTTATTTGATTCTCTTAGCGATCGGCAGATCGAACCTCGTCTCTCTCTTTCTCTCTCTCTCTCTCTCTCTCTCTCTCTCTCTCTCTCTCTCTGAGAATCTGCAGCGCCTTACCGCTACTCCCATAACCACCCTCGTTCCTGCAACCAACCCCCCTTTCCACCTGCACGATTGAACGTGAGCCCAACATCAGAATAAAACTACGACGAATTCTACCTCCATCACGTTAACGTTCCTCCTCCGTCTTCTATCGTAGAGACCATTTATTTCGATCGTAACCAATGTCGTTTCGCAGTTCACTTCAAAGTGGAACGGCCTGCCTCTATCGCCATGGTAAAACGCGACGTCATTGACGTTACAAGATGATTCATACTAAACCAGTGGCCTATTTCTTTGGCCGGAGGAACATTTACTATTAAGGCTGACATATTACATTCGACAAGAGCACAGCGTTAAGTTAATGGTCCAGTTGCATTAATATTCGAAATCTTGATCGAACAATCTTAAGCTATTAACATTCCGCAGAAATTGTGCAAAAATTAAATTAAATTTTACAAAAATTAAACGTTTATTAATTAAAATAATTTTTGTTGAGATTGATAAACCATATTGACCTCTCGCGATCATAAAAACAATTCTCTTCAGCTAATCGTTTTGTTTTTAGGTAAAGAAATGAGAATGTTTTATTTATAATAACAGCGGTACGTTAAAGTAGCTAATGCTAATGTATGAAATAAAATGCAAAATCGAAGCAAGCACAGAAATGGACCACGGAAATCTGTACGAGATATGCTACGGTCTGCTTTTGAAAGGCACTGAGTTATCATTGAAAGGTCTCTCTCTCTCTCGTGCGCGCGCAGGCACGCTAGTCCTTCAGAGCTTACAAAAATCACCTCCGGTAGTAAATATTCATGTCCCACAAGGCGTTGCTTTGACTCCGTATGACAAGGCATTTACCCAGTTTCGAAAGTGAGTCGCTTTATCTTCGAGCATATTTTTATGACAGATCCTAAGCGTACGGATTTACGAGCAGATACAGAACTTACTGCTAGACACATCTCTCTGACTTCACAACCGTTGAGACAATATCCATAAATTATCATATCCTTTTTTTATTAAAAAGAAAATCTGTCGGTTACTTCAATAGTCATTGACGATTCGTGATATCATGCCCGACTATCCGCTTGAACTGACACACACGTACTTTACATGTACATGAATTTATTATGTACCGTTGAGGGAAACGCGCTACTCATTACAACACGATTTATATCGACCGCTTATTACAAATTCTGCATTATAACGGATATCATTTCGACACTTTTACTGCGATATTATCTCATTATATTGCAACATTTAATGCAACATCTCTTGCTTTTAATAACACGTATTCAAAAGTAGGGTAGTGGAATAAAAAAAATCGTGGAGTTTATTTCAAACGAGTTTACTCAAAACTCATTAAGTTGTTATATAACATTATAAAATTACGTAGCGTACGATGATACTACTGCGTAATACGCATAATATAAAGTTTCTTGTTAACGTTAATTGCTTTACACGTTGAAATATTTACGTCACGTGCGAGGGAGATTATCGTAGCTTGCATAGTGTTTAAGATGGCGGCAGTCGGTGCATTAGAGCTAGTTTGCGCAGGTGAATCTGCGTATTGTTTTTCTTCTTTTGCTTCCGTAGCCTGTTTAACGGTATTGTGAACGCCTCCGCCGTCACTATTACCAGCAGTAATAGACTGATGATGTACAAGCCCAATCTCATATTGGATGCAGTTCTGAAAAAAAAAATACATATTTTTTTTATAAAGCAACGTCAATATCTAACTTATACGTAAATTATGAAAATGTCAATTTTTATTTTTTTTTACTACAGTTGCCCGTAGCTTATTACAATTGTAAAATTGGAAAATATTGTTTTATAATTGAAATTCGAAACGTCATCTATTTTCAAGAAGAAAAGACAAGTTTTTGATACGACAGTCAATAAGATTGATTGATATAATTGACTTACAGATTTCCCACGTATAATCAAATAACGCCGTGCCACTCTATCGTCCGGGTAAATCTTGCGAACCGCCGAGTTTAATCAACGAACTTTGAGATAATGTTATTTCAGGACCAGGATTGATGTTTCATGGGTGGCCAGAGCTTGACTGGGCCAACACTTGACAGCTTCCCAAGCCTATACCATTCAATCTCGCGGTTGTGCCCCTGCCCCTGGTACTACGCAACGTGACGAATGCATATTTATTTCGCATAAAAGTCCCCTCGTCTCCAACAGGCGTTTTATTCGCTAACAAGCGAATGTGCTTGTCCAATTTAGTCAATTCGGTTCCCGCGTGCACTCTTACGCACGTAAGAACGGATTACACTTATATACATTGATACGAATTATATCCGGTGATTTAGTTATAAAAGAATGAAAAAGAATAAAGAAGCACTCGTTGATCACGGGTATATTATCTATTATACATACTATGCGCTGCGTTATGGGATAATATCTAATACTACTTATTTTTTCGCATAAAATCAAATCGGTATCAAATCGCATGAATTTCTAATCAGAGCGGAAATCACGAACGCTCATAATATTATCTGTCAATATTTGACGTCGTGGCGCCGAATAGTTGCGGTAGGCTGATACAACAGTCGAATTGTGATGGTATAACGCGCGCATCCATACGTTCTGCGGATTTGTTATCGCGGATCAAACAAATATGAGTGCACTTTGGACATGACACGTCATATCGCGTTTCTAACACACCACGCACAATATATGTATAGGTATATATATTATTATTATTAATTATTATTTACTTCGTGACAAGGTTTGTATCGACTGAAGAGATATATTGTAAACGTGTGTGTGTATTATATATGTGTACATGTGTGTGTGTATATAAGGTGTTCCAGGACAGCTGAATAAAACTTCAGGGTCTTCACTCAAAAAAATGTTTTGCTAATGTAGGTAGATTTCTGGTATCACAACAAAAATTTACCGCTATTTTTTGTATCTGCTAGAATATATCCATACATAATTTATAGCAGTAATATTCTAGTAATATTTTTTAGAAAATTTAGGTGTCATTGCACCAAATATTAATCACTATATTGGATGAATATGAGTTTCGATACTACACAGCTAGAACAATCTTTGTGAGAAATATAACTGCCGATTTTAACTGTAGCATGGAGATAATGTAACAACATATTGTAGGTGTGTCACAGTTAACTTATTTTTAAACAGTGAGAAAATTTTATTGACTATAAATGGCAATCTTCTTAATAAGTCACGACGCCGCGACGTTTCAACTCTAATTCGAGTCCTTTTCAAGTGTATAATGTTCTAACAAAGACTTTCGCTAGTCACGACAGTGTGCCTGCACGTCAGATCTAAAGACTATAAAGAAACAAAACGGAATTTGTTTAAGCTACAAATAACTACATGAATTCTTAGATTAAAAAGAAAAGAAAAATTAATAACTTACAAGCTTTGTGCGTTATGCGGTGATAAAACATGGTCAATTATTAAAATGTAAAATCGATTGTGTCAAGGAAGCACGTCTGTACGCCTCAGTTACAAGCAACACAATGAGCAATATCTAATAAACAATAATAGTTTATGACAAATTGAGGTTGGTTAGGTAGTCTTTATTATTTTGTCATATATATGGCTGTCAGGTTCTCTGTGTATTTTTGAAGGTTGATCGTATGATTGTGTTTTTTAATTAAAAACATTTCGGCGATTTCTCTCTTTTTAATGTGTTTTTCTTTGTGTAAAATTTTTGTACCAGACTAATTGAAATCATGATTTAATTGAAGCCGAGGTTTGCTTATCACGGAGTGATTGCTGGCAAGCTTCCTTACGTTAGATTTATATTCCTTAATTCGAGTTTCGAGATGTCTTTTCGTTTGTCCTATACCTATACGCCGCGTCGTCGCAGTCTAAACAGTCAATTTTATAAACTAATTCCGTTTGTTTCATGTCATCCAATCTGTTCTTTTCCCTTCTAATAACATTATTGAGCTTCTTAGGTACAGTATAGGGGAGACCGGGGCTATTCACTGCTGAAATTTTGTCGCGGGCCTAACTTTAAAATGCTTGCTGCTAGAAACCTGTAATATCAATCACAGATGTTTCTTAGTGTCCTCTAGATACCAACGGAATGGCATTTGCGTGTCAACCATTTTTCTTTCTCAGTGACAGAAAGTTTGATTTCAAGTGCTCAAAGTAAATTTTTTCAAATCCCAAAAATTTGTTTGTTCGCCGAATAAAATAATAAGAGATCCGAAACGGTAAGTTGTATTCGGTCACTCGACTTCACTAAGCATAATGCATGAGTAGATTTTATGGTATTCTTTCTTATCTGTAAGTCACGGATCATGAATAAGGAAAAATCACGCCGGGGTATTTCGTGACACGAGCAATCGGGGTAACCAAAAACGCCACGAATAAGCGTTCAAAGGAAAAACCAATTCGCAGGGGCCGTGCACGCCTTCGAGAAGTGGTTTCCCGTAATCGAATGTGAGCAATGTAGGCAATTAATGGAACAGGCGTTACATTTTTCCTATAATTTTTTATACATATAATATGTAAATTCTGGCAAATAAAGGCTTTTTCAAAGTATAAAGTAGATAAAAATTTCAAAAACGAAAGAAATCTATATAGTTTGTTCAATCAGAGAAAGTGTTATGCATTATCCTGTAGTTTGTCACGAATTATCCCGGCTTCGGGGCAATTCGTGACACATGACACAGCGATACATTTCTTGATATATTTCGAGA